CTTCCTGTTAAAAGGGAGTTTTTCCTTCCCACTGTTGCCAAAGTGCTTGCTCATAGGGGGTCATATGATTGTTGGTTTTTTTTCTCTGTATCTATGAAGCGCCTTGAGGCGACTTATGTTGTGATTTGGCGCTATATAAATAAAATTGAATTGAATTGAAAATTGAATTATCGTGTTTTAATCTTGTCGTGTCGCATTTGGGCCTCTCTTTGGGCTTCTCTGCACTTTGATTGTTTCTCAGCTTGAGTGCCCCAGATGTTGCTTTTAATTGTAGTATTTTAAAGGTGTGTATATGTACTTCAGTTTTTATATTATTCACAGTTTGTTGTTTCTTTTTTAATTGCTTGATTTATAGGTTCATTTTACTTTCTTTTATTTTGGTAGAGAGATGGCCGCTTGTGAGCGTAAACACCGGGATACGAGCACATTTTAAAGCACAGTTTAAGTTGCAGTGCGAATTGCAGTGTGACGTCATGGGTGAGTAGCCGGTAGCAGCCCTTGGGCACTCCTCCCTGTAGGCTGCCTGTTGAGCTGCTATTTTAACTAGAGCAACGTGATGCCAGTGAATCTTATCTCTTTAAGCAATGTCTTATTTTTTAAAGTGTTTTAATTAAAGCTCTGCTGGTGTTGTAAGTTCTTTCACTTCATTTGTTGTTTTCTTTGCTGCAGCTCGATATTATTTAGACTTTATTTCATTTAATAAACTTTTTCAAATTGACTTGCCATGCCTCTGCTTTGCCAGTAACCTGTGTGTCTTTGTAACTGGTTAATGTAATATTTCCTCGGATGTAACGTCACCCTCAGGTGGCGTTGTTAGCCTCATTTAGCTTTACCTTTCAGTTCCCTCCTTCATGCCGCCACACATGTACTATGTAAGTTGATTTGGTTCAGATGGTGTTTTCTCGATTACCATCAAACACAAGCTGGTGGGATGCAGACTGAGCATTTGGGCCTCTGGAAAGTGTCCATTACTATCATCACAGGATATGATGTATGCTGGTGTAGTGAAGTGGAAAAGGGTTTAGAACGTATAACATCAAGACTCAGGAGAACAACTTTCAAAAGCTAAAACTGTCCAATAAGGGATCTCTCTCTGTGTTTTATATGAAATGGCCTCTGTGCATGGCAAGATAAAGTTTAGTTGACTAATTTGCAATCTTGGTGTCATGACTTGAATTATGACGAAGCATAGTATAACTTGCATTATATGACTATGTATCTACTTATTTTAACATGGTTGTAGACTCTTTGTAAAACAAATCTTTCTGTTTCTAATATTAATATTTATAACTTTTCTATTTCTTTCTATTTCATTTTGTGAACTTGCAGATGGCCAACAGAGACATGAGTGTTTGGCACTGATGCAGAGCTTCGATTTCCCCAGGCTCTTAGATGCAGTGACAGCGACAGCTGGAGATTGGAGGGAAACTGTTGACATCTACTTTTGCCGCTTTGGACATGAGGGATTCCCTTATGAATCTGGGAGAAAGAACATCGAGTTTAATGAAGCAGATGGTTCATTCACACT